TAGTGTTATTGCTAGTACTAGGTAGCATGTGGCTGTTGCAGCGTAAACACAAAACGGAACCGCAAGCTACCTGATGATCTTGAGCTGCCAAAATTATCTGCCGCTAGTTCATTTATAAAGCGATGTATAGACCTAGTAACTTCCGGGTGTCCATCAATCTCGGTCAGACCACTTCCGGCACATCAACCAATGCAATTTGAGTCGTCGCGGTCTTCTGACGGGGAACTGACCTTTTTTCGGATACAGTCGAAAATTCTAAGAATTACACAACGCTACAGTGAAATTTGCCTCAGAACAATAATATTTGATTGCCATGTAGTTCAATGTCCTGATGACAGTTGTGAAAACCATTTATCGCTATTATCTAAACATTTTTTTGGAAACGCAACTTTATTTGCGCTCGGTTGCGTTATTTGAGCTGTCGCGGCGCTCATCACATTCTGTTATTTTACGAATATTATTGTTTTAGTGTTGGGATTAGAGAAGGGAGGGGGAGATAGACACTTAGGGTAGGTAAAGGGAAGTTGCTCTTGCATCAGTCAATCGATAGTTAGATCACACAGTATCTATTCTTGAAGTGTTTAAATCGGCTAACGTGAATATTGTGGCGTATCTTTTCCAGAAAACGTGATATGTGATGTAACATTTCTGATTTCATTTTCACAATCAGCGCATGCTATTTATTAAAGAACAGATACTTTCATCACACGGCAAGACACGCAGTTGCAATTTGTGGCACTGTGTTATCTCTAAAATACGTGTTTTGTCTTTCGTTCTTCAAGCGAGCTTTGGGTGACTAACGCTAGCTAACATAGCTCATTCAGTTCCTCTCAGCAAGATAAAATCAACTGCCACAATTCCAAGCCAGTTTTCTCGAGTAGATTCTGGGAGAATTCCAGAAAAACACGTATTTTTGATATAGGTAGTACCTACGAGTAGATACGTGAAACCCTGTAAATTACTACACTCTTATTCCCGACATTTACATAACATGAATCGATAAAACTTGAATCCTAAGACTGAGTGTAATGAAACCTAATTTTGCAATCACGCAAAAAATTTAAACAAGTATTTTAATCGAAACTTCAAGTAACTCTCTATGCCCAAAAATGGACGATGTTTAAAATTTATTTTCTTTATAATTTTATTTACAAAACAAGTCTTTTGAACATGAAAATACCAGTCAGAGGCACCACGGTACACTATCCTTCCCATTCATGTTTTAAATGCCAAAACTTTGTCTTCCAGTTGATCCGGTTCTTGAACACCCAAGCGGATGTGTTGGGGGAGAGTGGCAAGATAGCGGAGAACACAGTGCGTGCAAATGTTGAATGGCTCTCCAACAGAAAAGAGGAAGTACTGGGTGCGCTTCGGCACACCGATCATTTATGAAGTGGAAATCCTGTTCTTCCCATTTTACTTCAGGAACAGTTGCCAACGTATTCAAATGACAACTAAGTTTCCAGTATTCAACCATGAAAAATAAAGTATATTTAAAATAGCGTAATTAAGAATTGGAACATATTAAACAAGATAATTATTGAGAGTAGAAGAAGTAGTTACTTTAAATATGAGTATTTTGAAACTTGAATATTATATAATAAAAACAAAATATTATTTTAACATTCTGTACAAGAAAGTATACTTTTATTATCTGTGTATTTTTTAACTCGTGTTTATATCTTGTAACCTGCGTACCCTACATTTTCCCTTTTAGAACGATTTTTCCAATGAAATTCATTTCCATACAAGTATATTTTCATGAAGCTCGGAATACTAGTCTTAAGCTATTAAAATTGACTCTTTTTGGGTGAGATCTAAATAAGTAATACTATATGATAAACAATTATTCTAGAACTAACTTTTTAAAATTATCAAACATTATTTAAGTAAATAAATGCTTTGTATTTCTTTCGTGATAATGAACATGGTTATTAAATTAATTTAGATACATATTTGCCGCTATTATTCCTAGTATCCCATTTTTAATCATCATTACATAACGAAATTTTGCACTTTGTGAGTGTTTAAGAAAGAACTTTAAAATGTGAAATATTACTTTCATACAGCGTTATTCAGATTATTATTTTATTGATAGCTAGTTATTGTGTAATGTATATTTGTGATCAAAAATAAAATAAATATCACAAATCAATATTCGCATTTGCTTTTTTAAGAAATACTACATTACATAAAAAAAAGAAAAAGAGTAATGATGAATGTGCTTTGACTAATAGTAAATACTTAAGGAATCATTTAGTAGGGCATGCATTAGTTTGGCATCTGGGCACAAAACTAAATGCTAAAAAGAAATTTCCAATATTACTTCTTAAAATTCCTAATTACTTCTAATTTGTGGATCAATCCAGAGACAGAAGATTCTATCAGGAAATAAACAAGAAATAAAAGAATTAATTTATTATTACGCTATTTGAGATTTTTTGCAAATAGAAATGTGTAAAAACCGTAAGAAGTAACGGGTGCGCCGTAGGCGTAGTACTTCTTCTTCCCTAGATGTTTCTCCGTACAGAAAACGGAGAAAGCTGAGCCCTCTTGAGATGACCCTCAAGGCTTTTAGGATCAATTAACTAAATTGTTCTCAATTAAATTTGTTCGAAGAACCAAATTGTGACCATGTTACTCAGTAACATGGTCACAACTCGGACTCTTTACAATGGTGACAATTATATAAATTCTTCTAATTTTTACATTCCCGTATATGTTCTTATATACAAAGTAGTATATATAGTATAGGGAATGTTATGCAATGCTGCAGAAAGTCGATTTAGAGATTTCAAAGCAAATGCACGTTTTTGGGGGGCCCTGATTTTGAAAGTTTTTTTAAAACGTCCGTCGTTCCGTCTGAACACCACCAGGGCCTAACCTAAGATTTTTTTCTAAATTGAAAAACCCCTGTTCATGTGGCTCGAGTCTAATCTTCGAGATTTTGAAAACAAATCTTTAAAATTTGTGGGTACTTTGCTGAAGCTCCCCGAACATTTCAAATATTTTCTCAAAAACCACTCAAATTTTTTCTTTAAATTAATTTGTAAGAATAGAGTAAAATACACTACTTAAATGTCAGAGGTCCGATTTTCACTTAACTCTGATTTTTCAAAAAATTCCAAATTTAGAACTTTTTCGTGCGTTTTTCTATAACTTCAAAATTGAAGGTAGAGTTTTTCCCTCCAAATAAAATGTATTCTACATAGCGAGTTCTTTCGTTAAGATCACGTACATTTTTTTAAAATAGTAGTTTTCGAGAAATATTGCGTGCAATATTTGCAATTGAATATTAAAAATTACAAACCCAAGATTTTCTCATAAACGACTTCCAAATTTTGTTCTTACAATCATTTTACAGACAGACCAAACTACGCTAGAAATGGAACAGGTCTCATTTTCGTTGACCGCTCTGAATTTTTGAAAATTGCAAACGTCCGAAAAATAGAACGTTCTATTGGAAAACCATTAGTCACATCTATGATAGCTGTAGTATGGCTATCTGAGATGTCAAAATGCTATATCCTAACCGATACGCGTTTGTTTTGTAATTCAATATACGGTCTAATGAACAATCATGTCAGTCATTCGTTAAAGGGTTCGTTGGTCTCAGTTTTATGGGAACACGAGAAAGGATGTGAATTTAATTGAAAGTTTGATTTACTCGTCGAATGGCTGGTTTCGATATCACAATGATATCTATAACCCAAGTTTAATAAAAACCTGTAATGAAATGAAAAAAGCTTTTAATTTTAATGTTTAATTTTGGCGTGTTTTTACTGATTTCTATGCGACCATTTGGTATTGAAAGAACCTTTTCTCGCTTTGAAAATGTGTGCTTGATAAAAACAATAAAAATAAGAACATACATCCAAGCACTTTACAATAATTCTTTATTATTTAACATCTGCCATGTAATCTAATACATTAAGTTGTACATTTCATAAACAAATAGAAACTTTGATATAGAAGGCGGGATTATGTTTGCATGATACAAATCTCACGTGTCATCATTGATTTGTGTGGAAGCAACCTCGTCCTGCATGCCCTTTTCAAGCAACTCTCAATTCCACTACATGCATGCACTAGGAAGCGATCCATATTATGATGCTTGGAAATTTAAATCTGACAACTCTTACATGTTGACGGAACGGAACATATATGATTACCTATTTTATTTGATTATCCTATTTTAAAAATCTATAAAAATAATATCATGGCACATCAACGTAAGTACTTACAACTTCCCGACTTTTGCAGTAATTGCGTAGTCGTAAAATTAATGGAGTTGCAACAAAATCCTCTTGAAGGGTTTTGGATCGACAGTTTCCAATGTACAGGGCCAATATCGTAATTCACTTGACAAAAAGAGATTTTCCGTATATTTCGAATACTTTTTAGATTTCTTTGGCAACATTTTCTATTGTAAAATTGATTTGCTTTAAAAAATATCTTCTGTGAAAAATTCAAATTAAATTATTAACAAATAGTTTAAGAAAGTTATCTAACATTTTTGTACATATTATGAAAATTTCCTGACAATCGTTTAAAATGCTTATTTTGTTTCCCTTCACAGGACATTCTGATTAAAGTGATGATTTATTGCTATAAATACTATACTATTTCTTTAAAATATGAAAGTATCAAATTTAATATTGTTATATTTAATTACTATTTCTTTGACTTCAGGAATTTAGTTTTAAAAATGAAAGTCCATGTATCCACATCATATAAAAAGAAAACAATTCCATAAGCTTTTTGGAGGGAGAATCATTTTTTTCTTTTGCATATTGTAAATAAAAATCGTATTAATCACAATACAGAAAAAATGAAAATAATAAGCAAAATTACAATAAAATTATTGCGCTCTACAGACTGCAATGTAATGATTTAACAAAGCAGATCAGCTATCACTACTCGTGAATAATTTTACGAACAATTTTATAACAAAAGTATCGTAATATTGAACGAAATTATTAAGTACGAATTAACTGAGTCACAGCCAGGCCCCCTTCAAGAATGGATGGTACACTTTGATACAAGGGGCCTTCTTTTTCAGTATGGGTAAGGTCACGTATACGACACAATACACATTTTCACGTTGTGTGTAAATGTTATTCACTTTATACCAGTTACCTCAAGTTATACAATTCGGATTTTCCTTGACAAACGAGTTATTTTTACAACTTTTTCCGAATCGCAACTGTGTTGCTACTTTGTCATGACACCAAGGTATCAAATAACACGAAATTATCCAAGTCTCGAGCATCTCACATTGGCGTAGTTTAACTGATGCATTGGTATGTGTGAAAACAAATAATGCAAGATTTGATATTGCTTACAATTAATTTAGATGCGCTTTATGGAGAGTGTGTGGTAAACTCCAAAAGTCTAGTATTTATAATCTCGCTTGCAAATGATTTCTCTGCAAGCACAGAATATATTACCCTAACATCCTCACCTTCAGGATAGGTTCAGTTTCGCCAACGAAATACTTCATATATGTTGCTGGCACCCCAGCTCAAGGGATGTCAATGGAAAGTACTGTATCTTGTTCCGTCGATATTACTGAACATTCAGCTTTGCAGGTTGAAAAATGCACAGCATCATGTTTCAAACAATAGTGGCCATGAAGACTGTCCATGAAGGTATTCGCACTAGGACCAACGTACTACCGAGTGCCAACAATGGCACGGATTACCTCGTACCGCAGAGGGTGGATGTTGAAGTGAATTCACTGAGTGAAAAAAATCAACTTAGATCGTTCAGCGAGGAATTCTGTTCCAATCATCTAACGTTTCGCGGAGCACATTCAAAGCGCCCGTTGCCTTCTCGGCCAGACTAGCGCCACGGCACACTTCGTATGCTGAAATATGTGGCATCTATTAGCTCTCAGAATTATTGAGCAGGATCCACTCAAAGTTGCGCAAAAACTCAAAACTGCGACACGAGGAGATCCTGGTAAAGCTGAGAACTGTACAAAGTGACGAAGTAGTCGTCGTCGACTTGTCCGCAGCACAAAACGTTCGAAACGGCGACAGGTGGATGTTCAGGGAGAGCTTCACATGGTGAGGAAGTCGACGTCGACGTGCACGCAGCTGCCCGACGCCAGGTCGAGCGCGCTCGCGGTGATCTCCGTGCCGCCGAACACCATCCGCGTGTGGATCTCCCGCGGGCGCGTGGGCGGCGCTTCCGGGTCGTCGCTGCTGTCGCCGCTGGCGCTGGCGCTAGCGCAGCCGCCGCCCGACGACGACGACAGGTCCAAGCGCAGGGCCCCGCACCTCCGCACGCCAGGGTCCGTCGTGAACTGTGGGCAGGAACCCCCTGACATTGTTTGTTTGTTTGTTTGTTTGTTTGTTTGTTATTCCGGGTACGTCAGATATACCAGGTTACGTAGTCCCGTAAGTAGAGTGCACGTTTTTGGTCGGGAGGTGGCGGTCGTCATTTCCTCACTGAATAACTACCTGTCGTCGGCTAGCGTGGGTTGCCCCAACAAGCTACCTCCCACCAGCCCACCGCCCCAGCCGACACAAGCTCGAAGCCATGTGTGGCCCATTTGTTAGGGTATTGATCGGAGAGAGCATGGAAAACTACCGATCACAGCAACGTGCCTCTAGAATTCTCCTCCAGACAGCGACTGAATTCGACCTAGCTGACGAGCTAGGGTCGAAAATATTATCGCCGTCGGGACTCGAACTTAGTATCTCTCCGTCGGTGACCACAGTGATATCAGTCAATGCACTGAGCCATCACTCCCGGTAACCCCCTCAAATGCAGTGACCTGAATACACATGAGTCATTTGAAAGCTAAAATTAATGATTGAAAGTGGCACCAGCCTATGGCGACATACGATCTGTTGTTGTGCTGGAAATGTTGCAGATGTGCTTTTATTGAATAACTTTGCCAGAAGGCTGAAGAGTTGCAACAAGAGCGTCACGTGCAACAAGAGCGATTCGTGCAACAAGAGCGATTCGTGCAACAAGAGCGACACGTGCAACAAGAGCGACACGTGCAACAAGAGCGACACGTGCAACAAGAGCGTCACGTGCAACAAGAGCGTCACGTGCAACAAGAGCGTCACGTGCAACAAGAGCTAATCGTGCAACAAGAGCGAATCGTGCAACAAGAGCGATTCGTGCAACAAGGGCGATTCGTGCAACAAGGGCGATTCGTGCGACAAGGGCGATTCGTGCAACAAGGGCGATTCGAGCAACAAGATCGATTCGAGCAACAAGATCGATTCGTGCAACAAGATCGATTCGTGCAACAAGAGCGATTCGTGCAACAAGAGCGATTCGTGCAACAAGAGCGATTCGTGCAACAAGAGCGATTCGTGCTACAAGAGCGATCCGTGCTACAAGTGCGATCCGTGCGAGAACGAAATTAACAAGTCAGTCTTAGAATCGGATAAGCAAGGAGTGCATAAATTGAAGAAAGATATGCGTGTGGCGTTTATAGTAAATATGATGCTCGGAACATCAATTTATCAAAAGAACCGAGATGTATATTTCGGAGGGTATATCCGGTATGTTTTGAAAGAAGGTTCTCGAAATAGGTTAGGTGAATCGACATTTTAAAGGCGATACATCGAAATCGTGTAACAAGTGGGTGACAAAGTTTCAAAATAAAAAAAAAATTATAAAAAGTTTCAGGTGAAGCACACAAAAGCGACTCTCGCCAGAATCCGTCGTGAGCAGCGGTCACAATCCCCTAATACACTGTGCTCCTCACGTGGTGGTGAATTTCAAGAAATTGGGAAGGATATCAGCCATTTAGAAATTATAAGGAATTTTCCTTCCTCTTTAGTTGAGAACACTTGCGCCGTCAAGGAGACTTTTAAGCGGGGTGCAAAAAGAGGTGCGAAGTATTTGGTCGAGAATGACACCAACTACATACACTTAAACACATGTACATGAGACTTTCCCATTTGCCAGTCACCAGTTGGCAGTCGTTCGCTTTCGCAAAGTCTGCTGATGAAATGTTTGGAAAGAGAATTTCCATTGGACCACGGTCCACCCCGAAACTTCAATGATACTTTAGTACGATCGACCAGTATAGTACGTGTATTATAAATTGTATCAAAGTTACAAAAAGAATTAAAGCGTAGACTGCCGCGCCAGAGTCAGTATCCATTTGGCTATCGGGGAAACGACGTGTGCGAGGCACAGGTGCCAATTTTTCGGCCGTCATGTTGCTATCTTTCTCAGGGCAAAAAAGACCTGATACTAAAAAAGGATTGATGCTGGATTGAAATAAATATTTCGGAATTGGTTCGCTCATTAGATAATTGTACTAAATTGTCTTTTTAAAATCACATGATATTGTATTATGAATTTATTTATATTCCCAAAACATGTAGAGACTGATTCACGTGGAGCGCGACAGAGCGCCGGAATCCGCGTGAATTCCTGGCAGGAGCGCCAACTGCCGTGCCTTAAATTGGTTTGTATCAATAAAGTGTTGTACGAACCTCTTGTGAACAAATCAAATCCCCCGAATATTCGGTATCGAGATGAGAAAGGGGGTAGCGGATAAAATGGAAGAAGAGTGCTAAGGTTAGATGTGTAGAAACTTAGTGGAAGGGTTTCTAATAGTACCGATAGAAACTACAATTCTAGGAAAAGAATGGTTCAGCAGTATAAAGCAATATACACAGCGTAAAACAGTATAATTACAATTACTTATTTTAGAAAGCAGTATTTCACGAATTTGTACGAATTCCAAAGAAGGATTTTAAATTTTATTTAGGTCATTCATACACGAAAGGAATAAAGTAAGAATCATATAATGTTTGATTTAGAAATTTGACTTCTCCCGTGATAATTTAATTATAAATAACACAATTACAAATCGCACAAAAAACCGTAAGTTACAAAGGGGTTCAGTATGTGAAATGTGGACATTATGTCAACTAAATTAGTATGACACGTAAGAAAACAGTACCACTTCGGTGTCGCCCAATAAAGCGAAAGTTGTAAAACTGATTTTGACAATTATAGGACACTTCTTTGAAACATCTGTACTAGTTCGTGTTATCGAAACTAGCTCGTTTAAAATTATATTCTTAAACTGAAATTTCTCTTTCAAATTCTTGGGTTTCAAATTGTTTCAAAATGATTGTCTTCAAAATATATTTTTGAAAATCCTTTCTAAGCAAAGATGAAGGAAAACGTATGTGACATCAAAACGGCGTTCGTCTAAAACGACAGACAGGGAAAAAAGTCCCTGTGCACTAAAGAATTACTTATATTTTGTATTTCTGTACACAGTGAACAATACATTTGCCAAAGAGGTCAATATGACGGTGAGATCAATGATAGAGAAATATTCTACAAGTCACAAAACACTTACGCGAAACGTTTTGAATGCAACAAACAAACATTTTATGTATCTGAATGCAAAAAAAATTCAGAAATTAGGTTGAAATCTCACCCACTGTACTATGTCGGCCAAGGCTCACCGTTTAAAGAGCATGGGTTTCATGCTACTCCTTCAGTTGACTGAACAATCACGGCGCTCAAAATGAATGTAAATAATCATTTCAAAAGCGACAAAAAAAGATACGTTTGACATTTTTACATTCCGAGAGTGCGCGGTTTAGTGACAACTGCTTCGATATCAAGGGCTAATGACTGCGTTGGAATAATAAAAGCTGTGACCGATCATGAAATTAATGAAATAATTTGAATATTTTATTTAGTTTGCTCACACCTAGCTTATGATCGAAGGGCTAAGAAGAATAAAGAACTATCACACACTGACTTAGTTTTCAGATATCGAGAGTTTTATTAGAACATTCATAATATAACTCAGCATATTTCAAAACCTTTAAATACAGTAAACTTACATATAAGTTCACACTGATTTAAATAATAACACATAAACAAATAATATTTGAAGTAATATTTAATACTAATAATTCAATTTTACAAAATATGTGGGATAGCCCCTAGTTATAATTGAGGGGCTCAGTAGAATCATGTATCATATGCTTACTCATTATCCTTGACAATCGAAACTTCCCTTCAAAACTTCCATATTCCCGTGAGTTTACCCTTCACAGGAGCAGCACGAACACCCGATTAGAACGACTGTGTTAAGGTGTACCGGACTCTTCGCATCAATATTTCATTCAACGTTTCCATTTCTAAAATATGCATTATTCTTACTCTTAAATGTACATTATGTATGAAGAAAACAAAGAAAACCGGTTCTTATAATTTTATCGTGCTTCATGCGAAGGAATCGACGCGCTATCGCGAGGATACTAACAATATCGTGATAATGATTACGTGAATCCGCGACAAAAATGGCATTTTATATATAATCTAATCCTTTTGGATGTGTTCATATTTCACATGCCAAGTTGGTGACAAGTCCGAAAAAAAATTTTTCAATGCAATTTATACCAAAGTTATGGCAAGGGCAGTTTGTAAGGAAAAGGTAAACAGAAAACGATTTCACAGAATTTAATGTTGAAGCGATGAAGTTTTCAAGAGTCATATTGAACTATTTCTTCTAAAATAGCTTCAAAATTATTACTTATCTCTCTTGAAACTGAAATATCGGGAACACAGGTAAATAAAATAGACCATTTTCATGAAATTAATCATGAAGTTCTATCACGCACATTCAAACTAAGGATGTCTTCATTTCTCCGGGTTGCCGTTTATCGTTCGTTTTCATTTTCAGATCTCGCCGTCTCGGGAGTCGATTAGGGATCAGGGACAGGATAAGGGATAAGACCCAATGAAATTATTTTAATAAGGGTTTTTTACCTTTGTTCTTCGGTATGAACACTTTTACCCTAAGCGAACTTGATAAATAAAAAAAAATGTGTAAGCTTTGGCAATGTGCAACCAATCTTATTATGTCATTTCTGCTTTATACTCTGATGCACAATTTTACTACGATATGTCAACACGGAAGACATTTTTCAATTTCATCTTCACACAAGAACGGTATAATAACTCACAAGAAATATCGTCTATCAGACATCAAATGAGCACACTGCTCAAATAGCGTCACATGGCAATCCTGGTTGAAATTAAATGTTAGTAGAGACAAATCAAATTTATGACGTTTCAAAAAACTTTTTAATGAGGTGAACTATGTATATATCAACATTAAACAAATAAAGTTCAAAAAATATTATTCCGTAAATTCTTCAATCCTTCCATTCTTTCACCTTCTTGTTTAAGGTGGCACTAAGTATTTCTCAATGACTGCGTTAACGTTTGGTTATTGCAGAAAATTGTGGTGTTGTATTACAGTAAGTGTTGCTGGTGTATTGGACATTTCAGTTAATGCTTTCGCAGTATGCTCCTATTCAAACGTCATCAAACTGGTCGTAACCGATTCTTTCCTTCTCGCTTTCAAGGCGAATATTCATTTTTTATAAATAATAAAATCTTCTTTTCTAGGAGTATATTTATCAGAAACATCTAAGCAAAGAATAGTATGTTCGTGCACCTATTTACCTGTGAAGGTCAGCAAGCCAATAACTGGTCAAAGATATCATTATCGTGCGTTAGGTATCAAAGCAAGCGGAGAATATAATGTGTGGGTGGTCATGCAACCTGCCCAGGCCATTTGATTAGTGACTTGGAGCCATTGCGTGTATCCCAGCGGGAAAGAAGTAGCGCAAGCATTACACGGGGAAACAAAAATGTCGAACAAGCCGTATCAAGCGACATCACCGCTGAGGACACTTCCGAACCTGTCTTTTAGCTCGTCATTGAAAAAATAATGTTGTGCACGTCATAACAGAATATTTCCGTGTATTCTACAGGGTCACTGAGCGTATCTAAACACAGGAACTCAGATGATAGTTTCAGGAACTAAAATACTTATAGAAAACAATATAATAACTCGGAATATTTAACAATAGAACGCCCAGCGGAGTCGTTTCGACCCCGAGCCTTCCACGTTACTTCTTTAAAGGAAATATTGGAGAAATATTTATTTACGACACTGTAAAATTATTAAAAACAATAATTTGGTGTGTAATAGAAGTATAATGGCACAACTTGATTATATTTTAAACAATTATTTTCATTATTGTCCCGCGAAATCGAAGTTACCGAAACATGTTGAACGGAATCCGCAAGTAAACGGACAAAAGTATGAGTTGAAAAGTAAATTTTAATATATTAACAATATTGTTGCAATAATAATAAAATGCTATAAACATTTAATTTGAAATATCACAAGTTTCATATGTGACCCAAAAATATATTTAATTTGTTTATTTGTTCGCAAATTAGATGTTCATTTTCGCATATTACGTTTGGACAACAAACTTGCTGTATAAAGAGAACATTCCACAAAATTACCTATAAAACATAATTTCTTCTTAGGTTAACAAATAGTTCATGTAAGTTCTACGTACTTCTCAAATTGATTTAAGCGTACTGAGGAGTCAAAGAACAATGTCACCGTACTTGTATTATACTAATAACTTCTAATTTAAAATTAATTTACTAATATACCATGCACCAGATCTTTTCTTACTGCCAGTGTACGCTGACAGCCATTTAAATAAAAAGAAATAATAAAATTCTGGACCAGAGCACTTCACAATTTCGCAACTGGTGGTCTTATATAATACATTTTAAAGCATTTATCTTCAGATGAGAGACTTCATGAACTTCCTTTCACCTTATTTAGAAAGACAAAGAAACCAATACCTGAGCCTCGTCCGAGTCTGCGCAGTAGATGTTGATGAGGATGGAGGACTGGGCAGGCAGCGCTGGCGTGTAGCGCCGGACCACGGCTTCCCCGAGCGCCACAGACTGCTCCGCCGAGACGAACTTGTCCAGCACGTCGGCACACCACTGCACGCCGTCGCGTTCTACCAGTTTTTCTGCGAGCACAAAGCACATTGTTCCTTCTTACGCGCTAACTTCTTGGATAATGTAGACATTAAAGCCCACATGAATGAGGAACGAAGTTGTCGTAAGAATGCCCTTCGAACAGTCGCGTAATATTAACGCCCGTTCTTCATGATTCACGAAGATCTATTGAGTGGTTTTCTTGAGATGTTTGAGAACATAGGTGACAATGTAACGCAAACGGAAGCAACCTTCGAACAGTCGCATAATATTAACGCCCGTTTTTCATGATACACGAAGATCTATTGAGTGGTTTTCTTGAGATGTTTTAACACATAGGTGACAATGTAACGCAAACGCAGGCAACCAATCGGACAGACTGAATTTGCATTTTCAGTCTAGGAGAGTTTAGAGTTAACAGCTGTCTTCCCTTGAACCTCGAAACATTTGATAAGTATAGTAATCTTACGCAGGAATCGAGTCTCGCAATAATTTGTTTCAAGAATGTTTAAATTAAATTTTAAACAATTATAAAGCAGTATTTGTTTATCTAGATATAAT